AATATTTCGAAAAGAGATAAGATAAAATAGTCAATTAATGTTGAGTAGTTTGTTTACAGATTTATATGAGCACAAAACAACTATACAATAAAATTATTAAATATTTTATATATTCAAGCATAAACATTCTCATAAAAATATTTTTACGTATCAATGGATACAGTCGAGTTAATTTGATATGTTAGCAGATAATTGCTTGCTCGTAATGAAAGATAAAAAGTTAAAAGAAGTGCGCGGACGTTTGTTATATGAGTATACGCATTATGTAAATTATAAGTATGATTATATTATAATATTATATAATATTTAATATATTATAGTAGGTATCTACATTTATGGATTCGATCTTATTACGATATATTCTATTGTGATTTAGTCGTAATGTATGTACATATGATATGTATAATTCTATATTATGCATCTATATATCATGGCATGCGGGGAGATAGCGGGGAAGTGAAAGGACTCTTCTAATCCATAGAGTTCGCGGGAAGGATACAATATTTTTGCGCCATTGAGAACGCTGCGGCGGTCCTTGTAGGAGAAGTAAAAAATGCACATTAAAAAAAGAAAGATGGCTGTACATCGATAAGGGGCGCACACTGTATAATATAACGTACGCGTTATATACATATATTGTTAAGCGACGATTTATGGGTAGGAAATCAATAAATGTCGTTAATCGACCGTTGCGCCAATGTTTAGTTTCAATAGCGACGCATGTATACACATAGGTATAATATATTATATATATATATATATATATATAAGGAATAACGTCGCGCCGGCCTAATGAACCTTATCAGATGGCAGTACTCTTTTCCTATAGCCGACGAAACTTTGACCGCGTTCGGCTTTCGCCGTATCTCACAAAACGTCGTCATGTAATACAAAAATGTACGAAATCGTCGAACTAAGCGTTAAAGTCTTTTACTTTCTAATCGAAAAGAATTACAACCGTTAAAGACCGAACAATATATTGTTATTATAAGAATGAAATGGACGAAATGCTAATATTATTGCGTTAGTCATATCGACCAACACTGTGTTATATAGATATATATATATATACAATACGGTCAATGACATATTTACGAGACGCGATTCGATCGATCAGTTGCCGCGGTAGGCATTATGATATTTATATAGCAAGCAAATGTCATAATAAAATACGACGCTAATTCGTTCACCAAACAACATGACGTTATAACGTCGTAAAAAGCATTCGGGCACTACTCGTATGTATAGATCTAATGGTTGAACCGTTTTCGGTAGGTATGTGAAGTATTTATTTATTTATGTAGTTTATTATTATTATTATTTTGTACGGTTTTTATTTATAGGACTGTCGTGTTTTTTTTTCCATCAGTAATACTTTTTTTTTGATTAATTATATTTTTGAAATATTTTATTGCAATAGAGGTCCACACAAATTGTTGATTTTCATGGAGTACATTTGAATAAGCATAAAGCTTAAATTATCTAATTAAATGATTAATTATGCAGAATGTGGGCGGGTATTTACGAGGACGAACATGATTGAACACCCTGTATACATAATTTGCAGTACATAATATACATACGCTCGTTGTATTTATCCGTAAATACCATAAGGTGTCCATACTGCCTGATATATAATCAATAACTTAAACGCACGTATATATACACTCGCATATATATGTCTGTGTTAAATACATAATAGTACGCAATTTGCTTGCAATTTTTAGCTGAATAACTGTTCGCCCTTGGCATGATCTAAGAAAACACTATAGATATTTTACATGCATCATTGGAACATATATGTACAATGTACATATATAATATACGCAGCGTGACCTACAAATGCGAAATATTGGTCGTTAAACAAATTATTTTTTAGTGCCGTTTTAAATGTAGATCATGCAAGATAATAGAGTTTATTATCATTTAATAGAATAAAATTACGTTATATTTATGACACATAAAACGTTCACAGCGTAGCTCACCACCGTATAATATGATTTAGACATGTACATAATCTATCTATCTAAATCTCATCATACGAATTACCATTCAAACGAATTTTTGCAATTAAAACATATTATATACCTATTTTCTTATCGAGAATCTAATAATGTAAAATATTAATTGAATATAACCTATTATGCGTTAGGAAACATTTAATATACTAAAAAATAGGGTACGCGTAGTAAATCAAAATAGCATGATAAATTGTGCGTCAATAAGTCTCGACGAAATGTGGAAAAATATGCGTAGAAAAACGGGTCAATTACATTATAATTTTAAATACATTTTTGAAGATCACTACAGCGGTTGCATTCCTTGGTTGAAGACGTTATCATGGTGGAAAGAAAATAACAACTACAACTGTGATGACGAAACAGAACGCTTGTAGTTTCTAGTTGATGTGTTATCGAATCACCAAAAGGAAGCACACGCTACGCAGCATTGCACCTATCATGTCCATGGACGTTGTGGGATGCGTATACATGTGACTATGAAGTCGATAATATTATATTATCGAAGTCGATCGTGCCAGTGCGCGTTACCGGATTTTCTCGTTAAGTAGGTGTGTGTGTATGAGGTGCGATAACAAGAGGGCGGCGTTAAGCCCCTCGGAAACATTCAGATGGATTAATAACGATAAAATAAAAAATACGGCGTCGTAGTTGTATATTATATAGGTATTGTGTCTGCTATTAAAACATAATATTTTTCTAGATTCGTTTTTGTATATTATAATATATTGTATACCTATTGCACGTGCTCACACATTTTTCCACATAATTCATAATATACACACTGATAATCATATATAGGTACTTGTATACAGTACACGCGTATAGTCGATTTATTCTACGCGTTTATATTATATGTACTTTTATGTACGTATTTTACATACGAATACGCCATTTTTCGTGCCATTACACACACACATTTTCATAAAACAATGTAATTATACACAATTCACACTTTTGCTCCTCCTATGCCACATTGAACATCATTGTTTCGGATTTGAAACAAATTTCATAATGGAGTTAATGATAATATACGTGTACAAGCGCACTATAAGACACTGGTCAAGGGCCGTGCCGATTTTATCTCGTTCAAAGGAATTTTTATGACAAATTTATAGGTAGGTAAATTATATATAAATAAAAAAAAATACGCACGTGCGTATTTATATTATCATATTATTATTATATCTGTAGGCGATTCGGTCGATCGGCGCGTGCGGTTTACGGTAGGATCGAAGAGTAGGCCGAATGCACGTGTAGGAGTGAACGGAAAATACGCTACATGTTTTTCGGTTGCCTTCGGATTAATATCATCTAAGTAGTGCCCAATCAATGTTTAGTGGTTTTTCATATAGGCTTCAAAGAAGCAAAAAATAAAATAAAAACGAATTAACTTTCACCAACCTAATAAGATTTTGACGTTCGATATTATTATGCTAATTGAAAATTTTAACAATATCTCACTATATTATGTTGTGCCCATAATATACGATGTATTATGGCATATTATGCGTATATGTATACCGCCGCTGTATCATTGATACTCTCCCCGCGCAACATCAAAATCGCTGTAAGTTTTATGTGTTCTAATAGTGTACGTTGCTGTACTTCCCGCGGTAAGCCACATATTTATTGACCATTGATATTCAATCTCAGTTAGGACTCGCATCCGTTATTATATTATAACTATTCGAAACCCAATGGCAGTTTTTTTTCGCGTAGGTGGTCATTTAAAACCGAGTTACATGGTGCACCGGGTCTTAATAGTATACGTACATAACAGTAAAATGAAATCAAATTTTCACGGATTCTGTTCTAAAGACCTGCAATGTTATAAATCTGAAAAGCAATATTAATAGAGACCGAAGATTTGAATTTGTAGCACAACCCGTAAAGAAATTAAATAGATATTAAAAAATTATTATTATTTACATACCCTAACGATTTATACCATGATTTTCTAGTTGATAATTATAACTATACGCATAATAATCAATCGAGTTTACATTTCGTTATTTAGGTATACGTATAATAGAATGTAACTGCCAAAATCAAAACATATTATGTGTATATACTACATTCATAGAGGTGCTCGGGTATGTGTTTGTCTCATTGGTCAAAATAAATTATAAATATTACTTCGTCATCGTTCGCATTTTGTGTATGAACACGTTGCTATGCTGCCATTGCGAACAAGATAACTTCCAGTGTGAAAACAAAAAGATAAAATATAATATACATAAAAAAATAAAATACCGTTGGTAAATTACCAGTAATAAATTATCGATACCCGTTTTTCCATTAACAGTCGTAACAGAGGTGAGTGAGCGAGAAGCACAGAGAACGGAATCAGCGGAGACAGAGACAGACAGAAAAAAAGCACATTAATATATATTATTATTACTCCGGAAAGTTGCTGCAGTTTTGGTATCTCGAAACCAGCGACACATGTACGCATAATACGCGTACGTACGCCAGGGTGAAAGGCGTGGGCGTCCGGGCAGAGCCTACGGGCTCGCAGTGACCACAAAACCCGTTTTCCAATATTTTTTTTCTTTTTCAAATCATAATTATTGTATAGTTCTCGTTCTTAATATTTTTTTAAATGCGTACGGACATGGAAATCGGACCGGTCTAGAAATTAGGTAATTGATTTTTTTTTCTTTTTCGTTTATACTTTATGCGTTATGTATATATGCGCATATTATAATATCGGTTTGAACCCAAAAGGTCAATAGTTGTGAAAGACACACATAGTATGTATATATAACAGATATAGATATGATTGGTATCCATTTGCAAAATCTAGAGTTTCTAGTTTGGTTGACCGAGGGAGAAAGTCGTAAAGTATTAAATATAGAGCTTGCGTATAACAATAATATAATAATGAAATATGAAAACTATATACACTTCAAAAACATGACTTACATATTATAGATAATATAATACATGCAGCTTAAGTATAAATCAGTAGGTACTTACCATTGAGTGTCCCAAGTATTCGGCGGCGTTATCCGATATGTATAGGAGTTTACCGTTTTGGGTCATCATCATCAAGAATCCGCTGAGCGACTAAAAAAAAGTAATTTTCTATGTTAAATACAAAATAATAATAAAAAACAAGATATTAAAAGTATACATTTTTATGTAAATTACCATCTATTTATGTGTATGTAAGCACACTATAATAATTGTCAGCGGGTCATACGATGTATATTTTCGTGTTATTTATTTTTTTTTTATTATTCACAATCTTACCATATACGGTAGGTGCATGAGCAGTAATTACAAGGGGTCACATAGACATTTGCGTCTATCCACGGTCGTCGAATGTCCCGGTCAAGGACAGCATTATTGTTTTCAGAATCAAAAATGCTTATTATAGTGGGTATTAAAATATACAACAACGTTATTGTAATTCTTTTTTTTAACCATAATCCGCGATAAATAAGAGGCATAATAAATTCTATTCTATGAAATATTATCAAACAAAAATGATTGTGTTTACTGAGAAATCATCAAGTTCACTCAAAAACGGTAAATACGTATCAAAAGGTTCCTGTTTTGATTTTTTTTTCTATGACTTTTAGCGTAAATGTGACAATTAAAATTATAATAAAATTATAATCTGATGTATTAAAGGTACGTTACCAATGGTCACGTATTATGATTTTACATCGACTCAAAACTTTGAACTTTAATTTAACATGTTTTTACGTAAAACTAATTTCATTCAAATAACTTTCGAAAAAATTATACTAATTGATATACTAAAAAGCAAAGTGCACTTACAAAAAAAAACTTTGTAAATTGAAGATTTGAATTTTAAACTATTTGTTATTTTTAATTACTGCACAAAGAGCATACCAATTGTGTATACAAACTTTTTTGTACATAAAACTATAGTTTTAATCTTCTACACAGTTACTAGTATTTTTTAGGGTTAAGAAAAATAATTTTATGAATTTATTTTAATTATAATTTGTTGTAATAATTTAAGGATAGTCGCTGATGATCTAATTTTACTATAGGTCAAATATTCAGTGGTAGTTTATTGATTTTTGGAAATTAGTTAATTTATTATAGGAAGCCAATAAATTTATTTATGATGTATTCTGTTCTATAAAAAAACACAAATTAATTTTAATCAAAGTTAGTTTATATTTGATTCTAATGATTTAAATGAATTAGAAATAATACGAATAATTATAAAATTAATGGTCATTAACCATTAAAATTAAAAATCTGAATGAAAACATTGTTATTATTGTTACTTAGATATAAGTTATAATGTATTTATTAGTCAAATATTATTAATATAAACGTTATTATTATAATATTTTTACTCAGTTCTTATATTATCCAACGTTTTATGATATTACTATAATTAACAATAAGTAATAACCAATTTTATAAATACCATTATTTTATCGTAGCCATTTATTAATTATTATCAATGTATACCTTTTAAAATGTGTGTAGTTATAATTATAAAATCTGTAGAATATTAATATATTTATAGATATAGTTAACTTAGTGCTTAGTCTACAAGTATCGTATTGTAATTAATAAATAAAATAAAAATTACAGATATTCATCATTATTTATAGGATTGATTATATTGATAATAGTTAGCATTAAAAAAAAAAATGAAATTATCGACCTCGGTAGGTATCTGTTCATATACTTATATATTCATTAAAATACGAGTACAGCTTGTTAATATTATGTATCTATAGATATTACTTTTATATTATTTTTGTAAATTTGGCATACGATTTTTACGGAGTTAAAGTACTAAAAATCAAAATATGCGCTTGTACACATAGTAAAAACGTTTTTGTAAATTATTTAATGTACTACACATCGAACAAAACTACAGTAAACGTACTTCAACTAACTGTGCGTAGGATGTGTCTATTAATATACTTCGACTGCTGTTTAATATTGATGAAAACGTCCATGAGTTATTTAATTATATAAAAGTATATTCACTGGTGTACGGTACATTTATGTAAAAAAGTGTTAACCGTTTTACGCAAATTCGTTTTTAAAACTGGAAGATCACGTGTAAGATTAGGAAATAATAAGAAAAAACCCGTTAATTTTTTATAGCATATATAATATATATAGTATTATATCAAAAGGATTTTAGAATCATGTATATATGCGTAAGTATGTGTGTACACTGAAATAATTTGAAGACCGACAACCGTGTACACACACACATACACACACATATATATATATATATATATATATGTAATGTATTTAATATGATAGCGTCGAACGGTTTACATGGTCCTTAAGAAGCGCATAGTCTCGTCGCGGAGACGTCTCATTTTCGGATCATCTTCATACCTAATATTATATATATATAATATATGTATAAGTACGATAATACGTTATAATATATGGTATATATATAGATACGGTTAGGATATAGACTTGACAGGTCCAACGACGGAGGTGAATTGAAGCGGTTAGACCACTTTCGTCATATACCTGGTGTAGGATATGTATATAATATAGCACACTACCGCTCTATACTATATAGTTGGTAGGTAAAGTTAAAAATATTATGATACGTATGTATGTATGTGTGTGTGTATACGATGCCTGTACTGCAGAACCATTTCTTCTCAGGGGATTTTCCGCATGTCGTTGTGGAAATAATTACAAAAATATTCTACCAATATAATAATAATTTGTACGGTATTAATTATAATTATGACGATATTATAAAATATTTTAAATTATATAATAATATGCAAACAACGCGATGGTAAAATAAACTCGCGTCCCCTTGACTCATTAGGGGGAGGGGTACTACACACCGCGAGAAAATATATGATGAAAAAGAATATTATACGACCGAGGAACAGTATTGTGTACACGGATCTATTAAATCTATCAAATTTTAATCGTCGATCCCGGCGCGAGCAGTCTTCCGCCTACGTAATGAGATTATATTACTTTTACGTTATTTTCCGACATCGGCGAGCGCGCGATAAATCAACGGGACAGATCTGATACATGGATTGAGTTAAGTAAGTATTATGTATTATTATCGTTAATTCCGCACCGAAAACAATTTTTATACATAAGTTTTATATTTTCTTTTTATTCGGTAACCGTTTTATGTTATACTTTGTGTCATACCTTTATTGGACTACACATAATATAATGTACAACGTTATACAGTTTGAAATTTTACGATGACGGTAAACAAAAAAATTTCAAACCGGATCGAAAATAATATGTGTAGGATATACTATTTTATACATACCAACTTGTGGTGGCGGACACCTTATTGACGAGCGCGCGCGCGCAATATTCCTACAATTTATCGTATCGTTGGAATCGCGCTAGCCGGATCCGTGTTTTTGTATTTTTATAATAGTATATATTCACCGTTTTTTATACGATACACACACACACACACACACACACACACACACACACACACACACACACACACACATATATATATGCCTACACGACGATACCGGCATGACACACGCGGTATACGGGGAGAAAAACGTTATAGGTTATCACACGCTCGTACAAATTTCGTATTAAATGCACCTACAATCTACTCTGTTCGTCGCGGCAAACTCGTCCCCATCGTTTGTAAATCGTATGATGGTTACAGTATTATATGCGGCACAGCACAATCAATGTAAATCGATTCGACGATCGCTGTCGTTCACAGCTACAACGTTTTTAGACATTATACCTACTATATTTACATCATCGTGTTTCATGGAGTCCGATTTTCCAAACCTTTGAATAGGATTGTTTGGATGACGACCCGCAAACAACACCACATCAAACTTAGGTTTGTACATCCGAAATAAAGGCAATCAGTGGAAAATAAAAATGACAGTATTGTGACAAAATATAATATTATAGTGCGACGCTATAATGTGTAAGACGGAGCAGGTGCGGTTTTCGCCACTACTACAGCTTAGTAGCAGCAATCCATAGCATAGAAGCCATAGTACATAGTATCAAACAATGTTATATGTCAAGATATAATACCTATAATGTGTACAAGACGTTATTATATTAATGATTTATAGTTTATAAAAAAAAATAAATAAAAATATGTCTTAAGTATTGTTTTAACATTTCCCGCTCAATGTAGATACGCCGCCTATACGCAATAAAGTTAGCCACGACATGTGTCATCTATAAGCTGAATACTGATATAATCGTCACAGGAATCGTCTATTATGTTATGTTTAAATGACTGTAAAAGCTTAAGCTATCTAATGCTTTGTCAGTAGTGCGAGATATAGTAAATCGACGTATTTCGAGGATTTTTTTATATTGTTTAAATGATAAATTATGATTTTCCAACATAAAAAATATAGTTGCAAAAAAACACTAAAATATTTGAGAATTTCACTAACTAGATAAGTATAGTATACACCATTATACTAGTATATCTATAATAATTTATAATAGTATACAGATTAACGAACATTTATAATACAAATATGTTTTACAAATTATTACAAGAATGCTGTGAATAATTTATCTTATTATTATTATTATTTATAAACTATTTTTTGTTTTGAAAACACATTTGATAAAATACAAAATTACATATTATTCGAACACTGAATACTAAAGTGTAAATAACTTGATTAATAATGAAGTGAATTTTATATAATAAAATTCTACACTTCTTCCAAAATGCTCCGATGTAAAATAATACTAATATATATGTATATTACATATTTACATTTTATTTTTACATAAAATTAATATTAGTATTCAACGATTGACATAAAATTAAAAAAAAAAATATGAATCTCATAGTTATGTTCAATTAAAAAATGAAAATATATGAATAAATGTGGTGGATATTTGATTAATGACGGTAGTCGCATAACTCACTCAAAAATTAGGTAATTACATACCTTGTTATACCACTTCCCACAAGTTCTAAGAAATTTCAATTAAAACATTGTATATTAGACTCTAAATTTTAAATAAAAATTATAATAATTTAAAAACAATTTGTAAACTGAAAAACTGAAAAATAAACTACTTATATGAAT